ATTACCCCAATATTTTTGTGCAGGTAAACCCTGCTTTATCGTGGATGTTTAAACCTTGGCATTGCCTTCATATAAGGAAATATGGAGGAAAACAGGATTTTAGCAGAATTACCCAAAGTGAGAGACAGGCAGCAGGAAAGAATATTGGTCTGAAATCTGTTTCATTGTAGGATGCTATCATAAAACGTATTTTGAAGGCCAAGCTACTTTCTGCCATTTACGTAGGAGGCAAAGCTAATACAAAGGAACCTAAAATCATAGCAGTCAAGAAAATTATGGCTCTGACTCACATAGAGCTTTTTAAAGGTCACTTTAAAAACAGTGGGGCACCAGATTGACACCAAGTGGTCTTGTTTTTTCACACACCCCTCACAGCAACGCTTGTCTATTCCCCTAGTTTGTTTTGTGATGCTGCTTTAAGTTGCTACATTTAATGCTTTGCTTCAGGCAGAGTCTTGCACTGAGTGGGTTAAGGTACCCTGCAATAAAACTTAGCAAGGGCTTTCTTAGCTCTGATCACATTAAATCAGCCAGCAGGAGAGAGAAAAGTAAGCACATCTTCATATAAACACAAGATTTAAAGAATTCCGTGTCATAGTAAATGGCTATGGTTACTACTTTCTATTGCTTCTCTGGGTTGGCATGTTTGCTATCAGTCAATCCCTGAGTCCAATCCCTGTAGCATCTTTTTCATCTGTGGAGACCCTGGACTTAGCATCACCTGCCAGGGGCCATAAGAGAGTGACACTCTTGCCCTCAACACACACAAACCCAGCATATTCCCGATAATATTCTAACGTAGTGCAGATTTGAAAGTTGTTTTGTGTGCCAATTGCATGTGGAATAAAGTAACTAGCATTGAAACATTGAAAAGGTGGCTTTTAAGAGAGATTCAATGGGTAGGTCTTAACAACTGTAAGACATGTTGGCTTGATTAAACCTCCAGGTTCAGAGGCAATAAGCCTCTCAGCACCAGCTGGAGAAATTTGCCAACATTCGCAAATAATCAGGTACTATTGGACTGTGAGGAACCTCTGGCCCTCCATGTATTGTTGGACTACAACTCCCATTAGTCCCACACCTCAAGGACTAATGGTCAATACAATGAGAGCTGTAATCCAATAACACCTGAAGTTTTCTAGGTTCCCCATACCTGGCCTAATGAACCTTAAGACAAGGTGTTCCATGCATTAATCCATTTTCACACTACAGAAAAGGTCCAGCTACATATGGAATTCCATTGTCCTTCCAGTTTGTAGGAAAAATTCACTGGCATTATGTGCTCTACTCACAAGGAAGGAGCAGCAAAGATCTCCCTGTCTCATTGGATTGTAGGAATCTTACTTTTGACAATTTTGCACAGCTAGAAGAAGTTACTCTTGACTACTGGCAGTTTCTCTTTTGCGGGTTTGGGGTAAGTGGATGCTTGCAATTCTCCAGACTGGAATTGAATCCAAGCAGAAGAATTCAGGAGCTTGCATTCCTCCCTTTGAATCAAGATTTTATGACTTCTGAGACTGAAGCTAAAGATGTTTGCCAGCACCTGTAGAGTCATTTGCATATACTAGATAGCATTATAATTCTTATATTTAACTGTTTCAGCTTGGTTTCTTGTTGTTGTTCCTAGAGAAAGAAATCCTGCAAAATTTTGTAAAAGTCTTTATCAAAAGCTTTCTTGTTGTTCAGATAAAAGACATGGTGTGTTTAAATTGATGCATCTTGACTTGAGTGCGACGAAAACTCATGTTTCATTACACTCATTGCTTCACAAACCTGCTGCTTAGAGCTGGAAGGAACTGAAACCTAAACCTATCATTAGTAATTGTAAAATACAGGAATCAATCTAAACTAAGATGAATACTTAAATTCTGTACAGTATGGAATGCATTCAATCATGCCCTTCAGCATAGTGCTGCTTATGATTTAAGTGTCCAAATATTTATATATAATAAATTCGTAATGGCTGCACAGATTTCCCAGTTTGCACAGATGTAACATTCTTCTCACTGTAAATCCTCTTCTGTAGCTGTGGATGAAATTTGTTTTGAAAACAGCAGATATCAAAGAATAAATTACCGCTTACTGAAATAAATCTGTATTTCACGGTCGGAGGCATTAATGCTTCCGAATACCAGTTGCTGGAAACTGCAGCAGGGGAGAGTGCTCCTGTGATTGGATCCCGCTTGCGGGTTCCCCCACAGGTATCTGATTGGCCACTGTGAGAACAAGACATTGGCCTGGACAGGTCCTTGGCCTGATCCAACAAACTCATCTTATAGAGCTGATTGGTGGCCGAGTTATTTCGTCAGAGTATGACACAAAAAGGCATAGGCTTCTTTGCAAAGTCTTTCATGAGCATTGAGAGCATGAAAGTGTCTCCAAACCATACCCTGTTGTTTTTTTGACACAGAGATCAGCATAGCTGGAGAGACCTTTACATTTTTGCCAATCCCTTAATGGTGTCTCGCCCCCACTTGTGACTCATCAACACGACTTCCAGGTGGCCACAAGCACTGGAAGTCATAACACATGCAATTTTAAACTTCAACACACAGTTTGGACACATTATGATGAGCCCTTGAGGAAAATGGGATCCATGCTTTTGCTCCAAGACTTGCTTCTTGTCTTATTCCAATGACACCTTTTTAAAAATAAAAAATAAAAATGTATTCTGCAATTTAACTCCCCGCCCCCACAGTTTTAGGTAAGCAGAGTGGGCCACAGATCACCATTAGCCCAGTCTCTATTATCAATCCCCAAGTAAAATTTACAACCACATAGGGACCTAACAAACACCTTCTTCATCAGTTCAGGAAGCTGAGAAAACCAAAACATAATTGCTCTCTGATGAAGCAATGTGCACAGCAGGCATTCCTGAGCAGCTATGTTCGATCGTTAAAGGATCTCCAGCTGGGAGGAGGATGGATGGAAGCCTGCATGATGAAGCAAGCTTTTCCGCTGTTCAGTGGAGTTTAATCTTAGTGCCTCAGCATTTCCCAATTTTATATAAACAGGCCGAGAAACACAATCTCCTCTGTTCCCTTGAAAATTTTATGCCTCAGCCATCATAGCAACTAATGCTAAGTAAAAAATTTAAGGTCATGAGCTCAAATATTTGCAAGAAGGTTGACAATCTGTAGGTAACCCTACAAACAAGGGATAATCCTTTTGTTATCTCAGCAACAGTAAGAAATCCCCATGCCAGTGATCACTGAGATCAGGTGTCCCAATGCTTCCCCCCCATGGAAGCTGCCCCAGCCATTCCGTTGGCTAGGGCCCACTCCCAGGGAAGCCCTGTCCCTCTCCCCTTAAAAACAAATTAACTAATTTAGAAAAGGCTAGACTTAGAGCACTGAGTCATGCAACTGAGTCATTTTTCTTTGATTTTCACTTGAACTGATTTTCTATTTGGATGTTTCTGGATCCTATATCCTGGACATAATACTGGTGCCTTCTAACATATATTTTATACATGGTAAAAACTCTTTGGTTCTTCTGAGCATCTGATTGATGTGTTCTTTACTGTTTCTTCTGGGAAACTGTACTGAATTTTTAGGTGATGTGTTGCTTCTTATGGTCACTGAGCCATGTTTAACAATGGATGTAGAAAAGGTGGGCTATACATGTGATGGTAGCCAATGGGTCTCAAACTCTCAATGAGTTAGGGACTTTCCTTGCATGCAAAGACAGGCTCTGGTGGATTAAGTGGATGAGAGCACTAATGGGTCTAACAGTTCAAGGTGGTTTCTGCATGGCTGTAGAGGGAAGTGAGGGGCAGGTGGGGCTCATCAACCTGGGAAGGTAGCCCATTTAGAAGAAGGAAAACTCTGACCCTAAACCTCCACTGCCTTGCAGAATATATTTGAGAGAATCAAAGGCTAAGGAGTAAACCCTACAGAAATCCAGAGTGGAATTTGTAAGATGGTTGGATGGCATCTTGTACACCTCCTTCCAGCAACTCCTGCTGCCAAACGTATTGTTCTGCTTTCCTTTGGACCACATCAGCAAGAACAAGAGGGGGATCTTGTCATCTGGGCAGTACAGGACCTGCATTTACATTGCCCAGGAGAGGCCACTTCGGTGTTGCTAACACAGCAAAAAACAACAACATGGGAGGCAGCAGTTATTACCAGTCCCTGCAACCACAGCAGGTGCTGTGATTCTCCAGCAATATGACTTCACCCCTGATGGTGCACTCCATTGTCTCTCGAGATAGACAGATACCAACAACAAATAAATAATAACTAGTAAAGCTTTCAGTATTGTTCAATACCTGTTCAACTTGATGTGAGCTTTAAACAAAAGGCCTGTTAATAATAGACCACGTCTTACTCATTGCCTCCACATAAACATTGTTATGCATCCTGTAGTAACACTTCAGCCAGAAAAATTACTGACTTGGTGCTTACAAAGTAAATGATTCAAATTGATATCTGTAAAATAATTCCTTAGGATCAAAACATTTTGATTGATTCCTTTGGAATCCCAGTGTGACATACACATTAGCCCGTGCTGAGACTAGACAGTGGCACTGCACCATGTCTCTGATAGGTGCCAAAGGAATTTGCAAGGAATTTAATCTTAACAAAATGCACATTTGTCAAGTACATCCAGGTGAACCGTGTTACTAGATGAGATATCTCTGGTATCTGTGGATACATTCCTTTCCCTTGACACTTTCTCTTTTCACAATACTCCTCTGCACTCCTCTGCACATATGTTCTCCCTTTCCTCTTGTGCTCCACCATGAAGCTCCATTTATAGATCCCCTTCGCAGGATACCTCTTTCATACCTGTTGCCATACTGAGAACAGCAAGGAAGATTTAAGTGAGGGGAGGCCCATGGCTATCCCACTGAAATGTGCACATGCCAGCTCTTCTAAATCAGGCCATAGCCCTGGCTACTTCAGTACAAAAAATCCATCCCCGCTCCCTGCATAGTGGATGAAAACAGAGTTATCCTTTCTTTTCCCCCAACCCAGTTTTGAAAAACCACTCACCTTAGAACATGTGTAGATCCATTTATAGTGGTAGTGGAACAAGGGACTGTTTGCCCTAAGATGGAAGGCCTTCGGTATCGTTCATCACCACAACACAAGATGATGAGGAAGGCACGTCTGAAAGACTTGTTCAAGAATGCATAAAGGAAGGGATTCAATCCTGAATTGATGTATCCCAGCCACAAAAAAGCAGTCCATATCTTTGCAGGAACTGCATAATCTATGAAAGGGTCTATTACATTTGTGATGAAGAATGGTGCCCAGCATAAGCAGAAACACCCCATGATTATACAGAGGGTCTTGGCTGCTTTCGTTTCAGTCTTCATACGGTGAGTGCTGTGCTGGTCAGGGTGGTGTGGCCTCCCATCTGTTGGGGCCCCTGCACGCTGAAGACTCTGTATTTGATGAGCATGCTCCCTGGCTGTAATGTATATCCGGTAGTAGGCTAGCACCATTAGCAGAAACGGAATGTAGAAGGCAACCACAGAGCAGGTGATAGCATAGGGCTTGTTGACCATAAATATGCAGTAAGTTGAGTTGGACATACTGTTGAATTGCTTTTTCTCTACCTGAGGGAGATGAACAAAAAAAGCAAAGAAAGACAAGGACATATTATAGCTCCTCTGATCATTAATTGTCTTCTCTTTGCTTCATTTGCACATGTGTGGAATGAAAAACAACACTGCTGAGAATCTGGAACTTTCTCCACCAACCCTTGTACCTATTTCTCATTTCCCAGTTATTATGTGTCTTTTTCGTAACCGGCAGAACCCACATTTCGGAACTCCCTGCCTATTGGCACCAGGCAGGTACCCTAACTGTACTCTTTTCAGTACCTGCTAAAAACATTTTTGTTTAGGCAAGCCTATCCAGACATGTAAAATGTTGGCGTGTGTTTTAATCATTGATTTTAAATATTTTTGAATGTTTAAAGTACATGTTTTAAACATTTTTACTGATCATTTTATTGCTTTATTCTGTTTGTAAACCACTTCTATCAATCAAATGGTAAATAAATATTGGGAAATAAAATTAATAAATATAGTTATGAATTGACCTATTGAATATTTTTTTCTCCATTTCTATTATCTTCCTTGAATGTTTTATGTTTATCATACATTGAAGAACATGTTTATTCTCTGACAATTAAATATCAGGATGAGTTGCAATTCAAAATGTAATGGAACTTTTTTTGGGACGGACCATTACACAATGCCCAAATCTTCTTGTTATTGCTGAATCAATGCCCATACTGCAGATACTATATTGCACATGTGTATATAGAAGCATAGTAGAGGAACGAAGGAATGTTAATTACTGATAGGCTGCCAAAGAAAATAATTCCATCAGTGGAATCTTACAGAAATGTGGCACCAAGCCTATTGCAATGGTTGTGACTGCTTGACTGCATAGAACATTCCTCTGCCTGCCCATCATTCCCTGCTAGTACTGATTGTGAAAGGCAGGGTGATGAAAAACCCCATCTCTTTCTTGACAGTTGTAGTAGTTCATGGTTGTAAATTAAATGGAGCATGAACTGAAAGCAGTTTTCAGAAAGTATCAGGTCTGAGTCTCATGGAAAGAGTTGCCAACTGTCCCTCATGCTAGGCTGACAGCAAGCTTACTAGATGGTAAGGAGGATCAATTTAAAGAACTATTATTATGAAGGGTGGCATGTTGTCAATGCACAGAAGTAAAAACAACATTCACTGGAAGGAAGTCAATGGAAGGGGGGGGGATAGATAGAAGTAGAAAAGGTTCTTTCACAACATGTTAGCCAATGAGTTCTGAAGGTATCATGGATGTCACTGTGATCTGTCAATAGCTCAGTATCCCTGTCAGACCACAGCAGATATTCAGAGTGAGCGTGTAATCATTAATGTCTCCTTCAAGGACTTTCATGGAATTGTAGAGTTAGAAGGGACCCCAGGGATCATCTAGTCAGGGTCCCTTCCACAGTTGGGCCTAAATCTTAGCATGCAAAGTGCTGCTCTCACTACACATTTAAATATTTCATTTATCTTCTTCCTAATAGTTCAGAATGTCCAACTTTATGTCCCACAGCCCCATAAAAAGCTTCTAAATCCAAATATTATGTACTTCGGCAACATGACTAGTTCTCCCAGTTGCCTTTGTAGACCTGACCCACTGGGCTGAGAGGATCCAAGGTTATGAGAGGATTCCAGATTATGCTTCCAGATAAGGGAGATATATCTGTTAGGGTAGACTTAACTCTATCTTTTGAAAATCAGGGTAATACTAAACAAAATGTGGGTGAAATGGCTGCTTTTCTTACTAAAATGCGACTTTGAAAAGCAGAACTTTGGAAGATAAAAGGGATGGGAAAGCGCTGACTAGCCTTTCTACTGCTTTTCTGAAGTAACTGTCCTGCAGATATGCTTCTTCCCTATGAATTTGAGACAGGTGTTTACCTTTGCAAGCACACACCTGGAATTCCACATTGCACCATATGTATGTAGAAGTGATTCAGAGGGAGCCACTATAGCAGCCTTTCTCAACCTGTGGGTCCCCAGATATTGTTGAACTACAACTCCCATTACCCCTAGCTAGCAAGGCCAGAGCTCAGGGATGATGGGAGTTGTAGTCCAACAACATGTGGGGACCCACAGGTTGAGAACCGCTGCCCTATAGAAAAGTGATGATCAGAAGAAGGGTTACGCATTCCCTCCCTACAGCACTTAGCTGCTTCCAATTGCTTGCTCTCAAAACTACTTCTAACTAACAAACAAAAGTGGTCCATCAGGGTTTTGCTATACTAGATTCATGCAATATTTATTTCAGCCCTAAAAAGTTGTGAATGAAGTACAGATCATCAATCACTTTGTAATGACTCAGTGCAAGGAACTCAGGATGAACTGCAACTTCACAGGAACTTCCATTTCTAGGATTCTATGAGCAAGACTTCATTCTCTTTAAATTCACAGTAATGATATTTCATAGAATCACAGGATATTTTTGGAGGCTATCTAGAACCAACTCTGTCAACTTTAGCCATGAGTGGAACAACTGAATTGAGCAAATGATAAAATATTCAGATAACAAATGGAAAAGAATAGTGATGAATTCTAGAGTGTGCACAAAGGTTAAAGTCATTTCAGTAAAATAAAATGGCAGGTGGGGTTCAGATTTCCAAGGGAAGGTGATAAATTCCTAGGCACAGCAGCTAACACTATGACAGAAGTGAAATTGCCTTTCTGACCCTAAGTTTGGTAATATAAATGGTCTGGAAGCAATTTTGAACTTCTCTTTCAATCTTCTTGGGTGAAACTCTTTGCTATTTAAAAGAGATGAGGGATTTTGGTCAATACAAGACCAGCTCATACAGAATTTAACTTCACACCAGACAACTAGGATCTACTCACCAAGTCCATGATGCCAATGCTATTCCATCCTTGCATTATAGGGAGGAAAGAAATAAACATTGGGATTACCCAGCAGCCGCCCAGCATTACAGCAATGCGCAGTGGTGTCATCTTATTCCTATAAACCAGCGGCTGGCAGCAGATAGCATAGTACCTGAAAGAGGAAAGAAAAAAGAATTAATGGAAACAAGGAACCACACATTCTTCAGCCAGTCCCATCTTTTCAAATCTGTGAAATTTAAGCAATTTGCTGAGAGGCACAGGGGAGCAAGTCTAATGCTTCTCTCATCTGTGCAGAAATATGTGAAATTGTACAATCCTGGCTATTCGTATTATTATTAATACAGTATCATCAGTGTACACAGCACTGTGCAATAAAACTGATGTAAAAGCTAAAGCTCACATATAGCCAATCTGTGTATAGAAGATTGCTTAGCATTAAAACTGTTAATATTTGGTAAACTGAGAAACAGCTGTCGTTATCTGAAGAACAGGAAAGCAAGATTCTGAGGAAGATTCTAATGACCCTTGCATCTGACACAGATTTCCACTCCTGCTGATATTTATGCTAATGAGCTGAAAGGTCTGCATAGGTGGTCACGTACTAGTAGACTATATCCAACAATAAGCACAGCTTCTTAGTACAATTTATGGATGGATAGGAAAAGCAGATAAAGCTGAGTAGCCTTTTTAGCAGAGAGCCAGCAAAAATCCTAATGTATCAAACTAACTTTTAAGCGGGAAGAAAGTAACCCTTCTCTTTTTTACATTTTTACCAATTTTTACAATAATTTCTATGCTATTTCATTTAAAACACAAGGAACACTATGCCATCTTGAAATATCTTAAAATAGCTTTTTCTAATATCTATAAATTATAGATTATTATAACTTGTTCAAACGCACATACATATTCTAACAGAATGTTGAACATTTTTATGGAAGATTTATTTTTGCTTATTGCCAAAACCGTTTCTCAATCATTCTTCCAATCCTTATTGGTGAATTTTCCCTTTATAAGAATAGTTAATTTTGTCCAATAGTTAATGTTTTCCCACGTCTGAAGAGACCCCTACTGGAGAGTGCTGGATAAAGCTGGCTGCTGTGCTAGCAGGAAATGGGCATTTTGCAGAGAATATTTATGCAGAATATAGAGTGTTTTCTCTCTGCATCAAGAGAGGAAAGTCACATGATTAGATATAGAAAGAGAAATGAAAGGACTGCAAATTCCCCTGGCAATTAACGCATTGAATCAGAAGTAGCAAAATGATATGGAAATATTTCCAGATGATATTCAATTAACCACAATGAAGGAGACAGTTCAGCCAGGCAGTTCTGCTGCACAGGTTTATCAATTTCTATTATTTGCAGCTGACAGTATCACTTTTGGTTAAACAAACTATTAAGCAATAGTCAATTCTATGAAAGGGACATCTTGAGATTTGAACCTTCTTGCCGCTTAAATTTCAATATTTGTATGTCTCCATTCATTCACAATTCTATCCTCATTCACAAACCTACAACATGCACACTCACACACATCAAGAACAGACTTCCAGCCACAGAATGTGCTCTCCTCCTCACCCCTGCCTTGCAACACCCCCTGCCATGCACACTAGGAATGTCAGAAGATTTCATTGCAGACTACCATAAATGCCACACACACACACACACACACACACACAGAGAGAGAGAGAGAGAGAGAGAGAGAGAGAGAGAGAGAGAGAGAGAGACCCCAATCTGTTCCACTGAACCAGGCCTTAGAACGGACCACAGATCTGTGAACTAAACCTTTCTGACAGCTGGTTAGACCATGGTACTTATGAGATGATCTGAAGGCTTACTCTGTTTTTCTTCTTCTAATTTTAACACTGCAAATCTGCTTGGGGCAGCATCTATGTGTGTCATTTGCTGCATAACTGTGCATACTTTAAGACATCCACATTCAGAAGAAGGATGGAAAGGACTGCAATAGGATTTCTCCATCCCTATCATACACTCTTTAAATCTGCTCCAGAGGGTTAGGGGATAAGAGGAAAGTGTCCATGCACAAGCAGAAGTCAACTCTTGCAGCACTGAATATAGCCCCCGGCTGCACTAGGTTTACACGAGCTAATTGGAGCACCAAGGAGCTCCCTATATTTCTATCTGGAATGGTTTAATAAATTTCCTGCAAATACCTGGGAAAAGTTAAAAATTAATGTCCACATTTAAAAATCATGTTCAGACAAGTTATTGAACCATACTGCTGCTATTACTAATTGCTCTCTAGTGATTTTTTAAAAAGAAAGTTGATAAGCTGCTGTTTTAAGGATTACACCATCTTATGATTTTTATATATCCTTATTTGAATTTGTAAAACTGCCTTATGCCATATGGAAAGGGAGATATATAAATAATATAAAGTGAAAGATTCCAAGAAATATATTTTACCCCGAAGGATCAAACATGCTTCTATATTCTCACATGCTGCCCACTTACAAGAAGCAAGAAATTCCAATGGCAGCACATTCCAGATTTTAGCTTCCTCTGCAGGGGAGGGCACTGAATCTTTATGGCACTTTAAAACACTTGCTTTATTTACAAATATACAAGTAGAGGCAAGTAGGATGCACTCCTACCAGGTAGCACGTTTACTACATCCCCATCAGATCACCAGAGATAGATGGTACCTTCAGGTCTGTCTCAGCCTTAAACCTGCATGCATTCACACACTAGCATCCACACCCTCACCTGCCCTGCCTTTAGCCTGGGAGCTTCCACAAACCCCAACAGCTATCCTATTAAACACACAGCATGGCCAATGGTCAGGGATAAAGCATCTCTCTGAATACCAGTTACTGGGGGACAACAATGGAAAAGAGTTCTACTGCCCTCAAAGTCTGCTTGTTGGCTCCCTGGAGTTATCCAGGAAGCAGGTTGCTCAATTATGTTCTTAACAATGTCCTAAATAAAAGCAACTACCAATACTCCTAATTAACTAAAGACAGTGCCCCACACCCATTCTTCTAACAAGATCTATTTCAGATGAAACTGCTCAACAGAGCTAAATTACGTAGTCTAACGAGGAATACAAATAAATGTACTGCCAAGTGAAAACAAACAAAGTAAGAGTTCCACGAACACTTTGGAGAAGGTGGCGGCAATAGTAGCAAATTGAAAAGGGAAAGAACACACATTTCAAATACTTAAAAAGAAAGAAAGATGCATAACGTGCCTTGCATGCCTCAGATTATGCCTCAGCCATCTGTTCTGTTGTTTATTCTTGTGTGGTTCTATTTTCTAGTTCACAAGCTCAGCAATCAACGCATTAGGTCTACTTTCTATAAATCCAAGATATTTTGCATTGTAGTCTTGAGCACTACAGAGGCAGGCTTCTAAAGCATCATACTGCATTTATTACCTGCACGAACAGGTTACATTTAGCCACTTTGGTCTCAATCCCATTTCTTTCCTCAAAAGCTCTCGCTTCCTTTTCTTCAACAGTTCTCCTTCATTACCTCTGAACAGGCATGTTTTAAGGGGAATTGAGTTTATTTGTGGCTGTGTAGAGAACTGAGCATTAATAGGACGCTTCGTCACATTTTATCTGTTTTAATTCCAGCCTCTGAAAAGCCTTCTTGGTTCTTTTTCATGTGCACAGAGCTTTAGCAGGATTGCCCAGAATGGAAGGAGGAGGAGCAAACAGGGACTGATTAACACAGTTGCAAAGCCAATCCTTAAAAAAGAATGATTCTTGTGGAGTTGCAAAGGCTATACTGTAGTGTTAAGAAATCTCAGTTTTGCAATTACATTCATTGGTAGTTTGAAAGTTGCCTACTACTAAGAAATACATTCACTGTCTGTCTAGGCTCATTATCTCAAACATTAGGGTCACTTCTGAATATTTTGGGTGTGATCATTCCCTATTCAAGACATAAGACTCATGTGCAAATAGCTGTTCAGATGACTCATCAGACCCTCCTCTTTGTGTGGACACATTGCATTGGGGCAATCCAGGCAACAGGGAGTCTCTGTGTGCTTCCCATATTTCCATTTATGCACTCTTAGAAGTCGGTGGGGGATTCTCTCAAAGACAGAGCAGTTTTCTCTCTGCTGTTTTCACAGCATCAGTAAGCACATGAGCAGTGGCATCAAGGCAGTCTGTAGACTTGGAGGTATTCAAGTACCTCCCATTTTCCAAACTCTGCATCTTGAATAATCCCCACTGTGTGTTGAAGGGAAGTCTGCTCTAAATAGGAATATGTAAAACGCACACAGAGACTCCCTATTGCCTGGAATGTCCTGATGCAATGTGTCCATATCTCTAACAACAATACCAATAACATACCAAAGGTTAGAACCTAAGAATGTCAGAGTTTATTGTTGCAAAAATAGGGATAAATATGAAAGTAGAAAATGAAAATATTGATTATGCAGACAATGTACAAATTTGACAGGCAATCTTAGGGTTAATTCAAGACACAGTAGAGAGAAATGGATCCTAGTAGCTAATGTGACAAAGGGAAGGCAAAAGACGCAAGTGGACATCTGTGGAACTGAGTTAAATGAGTGCGTAATAACATCTCCCTTCACAACTAGACAAAACCTAGCTTCGATTGCAATTCTAAGTACTCTAGATCATTATACCTCAGCTCTGCATCTGAGATATAAAAGGCAATGGCACCCTACAAAACTAATGAAGGTATTTCCTCACCTGATAAATTAGGGTCAAGTCCACACCATATACTTAAAGCACGCATATGCCACCTTAACAGTCATAGAGAACTCTGGGAACGGCAATAGGTTAAGAGTACTGGCAATTGTAGTTCTGTGAGGTCAGCACCCTCAACAAACTACAGTTTCCAGGATTCTTGGGAGGAAGTCATCACTATTAAAGTGGCATAAAAGTGCTTTAACTGCATGGTGTGTGTATGACCTAGAAAAGACAGTACTGAGTTTATGCAGAATGCTTTCGAACCTCACAACCAAAGTATATCAGCCATATGAACATAAGAACATCTCTGCTGGATCAGACCAAAGGCCTATCTAGTCCAGTATCCTTGTTACCCCCCAGGGACTAACCAGAGGCCTAAGGATCTCCAACTCTTCTTGTAAATGTGATGCATAAGCATTCATAGATGGCAGTAATAATATTCCTATCTTACTATATAAC